CGTCGTCGTCGTCGTCGTCGTAGATTCTGTTGTTGGAGAAGGAGGAGGAGGAGCAGTGTTGGCGATCAGTGAGAGATCCCTCTCCACATTCAATCCTCCCCCCCCCCGCCCGCCCCTCTGTCCTTCCCGCCCCGCAAAGCAGAGAATCCTGCAAAACGGCTCACTTTACCCCCATACGCCTGTTTCGGGCCCTGGGCTGCCGCCCTACCAAAAGCAAGACTCGCGAGCCTTCCTGAGTCGTGATGGGTTCGCTCCTTGAGGCTTTATCTTGTGAGGGTTTTCCGGGGTCTGGTTTGGGGTTAGTTAGGCGGGTTTACGGGATGATGTTTGAACGTCGCGAAGCATGGTCCCAAGAGCCCAAACAGAGCACGTGGCAGAGGTGAGGCCGGCTTCAGGTGCACAAGCGAGGCCCCAACCAGGGGCACAGGTGAGGGTGAACCAACACAGAAACCTGGAGGAATGTGCTTGCAGAGATAGCAAACAGGGATGGTAGCCCAAGCCTCAAACCTCAAAGAACGGTGGGCAAGGCGTGAGCCTCGTAAGGTGTGGTAGGCAAACCCGACGATGTGCCAATGAAGAACTACATACTGAACAGAAGACAAGTTGTCAGCAAACTGTAGACCTGCACTCCAAATCTACGGCAGGGACCCCCTAACCCTGTTCCCCTCACCGCTCTCAGGACCATGCCAGCAGCAAGATTCATATCAACGACCTCTGATCCACAGCAAGCATGAATGCGACCATCATTCACTTGACCTTGTTGCAGTGCCAGCTGCATACTCCGGCAGCACATCCGGTCCGGCAGCCCTTGCCAACACTTGCCGCAATGCCTCCTGGAACTCTGGGGTATCAGCCGCTGTCCTCGGAAAGCAGATGGCTGCGAATGCAAGGGCTGCCAAATTGACAGGAACGTAGACTATGTCGGCGAGCCACGCAGCATCAGAGACAGAAAGCCCCCAGCAACCATCCAGTGTGGCTGCCCCTGGTGTGGTCGTTATTGTCGAGGACCTCAGGTTCACGTTCTCTAGCCGAGCACGGAACCGTACGAAGATCCAAGTTGTGCAAGAGAAGCTCCACCCAACCGATTCTCACCATGTCCGAATGCGAGCGACGAAATCGTCGTTGACGATGTGGAACTCGAAACCTCGTGAGAACACAAGAAGGCTCGCACGTGCCCACAATGTTGTGCAATGCAGCTGTTTGGCCAGATGCTGCAATTCGCACAGTGTGTACTGAGCGCACTGTCACAACATCCCTGCGCATCGAAGGCTACAAGCAAAGTCACACAAACACCTTGAAGTCACTTCCAAGGGATATCAATATGACCGGCTCATGCACATGCAGGTCAAAGCCAAAGCACCGTGGTGGTAGTGGTGAGTGTAAAGCTGGTGGATGTGGTCGTGGTCGTCAACACACCTCGGGTGGATTGACACACGAGCGCACAACTCACAGGTTGTTTCACAAGCAACCAACCGCTGCATTACTGCAAGGTTTTTGCCAAGGTTGGAGCGTCTAAAGATGGGCAGAACCGGTCCGGGCAAATCAGTCCCACCCTGCCAAAAAGCATCACATTGAGCGGCAGTCTGCACATTCACGTGTTCGCACGCCAAAAACACGGATCCAACCGGAAGCAAAGACCCACAAGACCGAGAACGTCAGAAAAATACTGGAAAGTAGCTAACAGGTCAAATGGCAGCTGGGGCTTGTGTCAACAACCGTCGACCCGCGGAATCGCATTTCCAAAATCTTCCAAAGCTTGGCTAGGTTTTCACATCGCAAGCCTTGCAAGAGTTGGATTACTGCGTGTGGCAGACCTGTGCTGAGCGTGCCTGATACGGGACGATGGTGAGGCCCATGGTGGCCTCTAAACCAGCCAGGCTCGGTGTGCTTTGTCGGCAACGCCAGTGATTTGCTGCCCTGTGCAGCAAGGCAACTTCCGGCATTGCGATATCGCCGAGGTCCAATGAATACCAGGATGGATGACAGCCTCAGCAACAGCACTGTACATAATACACTCTGTAAGTGATGACGGGCTTTCAGCCTAAAGTCTTGCGTGACCATGACCATGTTCGGGCTTTCTCCGAGCTGCATTCCAGCATTTCGGATTGCCACTCCTGGCATGTCAACGTGCGAACCACTACATTGCCACCGATCGTAGGAGGCCCAACAGCCCAACAGCAGCAGCACAGTTCCAGCCATTCTTCTAGCACAGACGGATGTGGAAATCAGCGACCCTTGCGGCGTGAACCTCTATCAGCCCTACAGTATTAGCTGCAGGCACAACTGCACAACTCAAACATGAGAAACGCCTGTTGTCTCGTGCCGACGCTGCCCACCAGATTCAGTTTCACACCACACGCGTCCACAAACCACACCTGCCGTATCTGCCGTCTCTGCGCTGCAGTTCTGCAACATGTCTTGTGACACAAAAGGAGGCATGGCCAGATGTGAAAAATGCGGAATCCCCAGCCCTTGTGGAAGCTCAAGGTGCCATAACCAAATTCAGCGACCTACCAGTGATACACTCTACAAGGGGATGCTACCACATTCTCACACTGGTTCTCATTCCTATCCCTGCTGTTCTGTACGCTTCTCCTTCTCAACCTTGGTACACTTCCCGACTTGTTCTGGCGCTCTCCCTCTCCCCCTTCCTAGTTCGCCCTCCTGTCGAGGTGGTGGTGGGGCTGAAGACTGCCGAGTGACCCGATAGCCCTCGATGGAGGACTCGTTGGCCTGGCAGGCCGCCGTAGGACCCCAGCGAATTTCACCTGCCGCGTTTGAAACTTCGGCCGCTGCACCTTGTCAAAAAGCCAAACATTGCCCCATGGAAGGCGAGTGGCCAAAAAGCTTGTAGCCATGTTCATCCCAATCTTGAGCGACCACAGTGGCACATGCTTGGCATGTGCTTATGGAATCGTCGCTCGAGTTGCTTTGCCCTCGAATCGGACAAAAAAGCTTGGCAGTGGAGGAGTCGTCCTTGGTGTTGGAAAGATCGCGAGAGGAGCAGCGCTTGACAAGCACAGCAACTGCCTCTTTTACACAAGTGGTAACCAAGTGTCGCAGGAAGCATGGCCTTCTGGGTGTGTGTTCGAATCAGCCAGACACCAATCATTTGCTTGGGCACCCTGGCAGGTCATCACCTTGGTATGATTATTCACCCTGCAAGGCCATCCATGCCTGGGCACCCTCACACGGCTTCATGTAGGGATGGCAAGACGCTTGGTTTGCGCCCGGGACAAGAGGCACCCCAGCCATGTACTTGCGACCTTAGTGCCAGCAGCAGCTTCATGCATCTTCACGGTATGTTTCAAAGCACACAATGCGGACAAAGCTGCAAGATGGTACTGGAGTGGTAGTGCTTGTACTGGTGCTCGACGTACTTGTACTGGATGTGCTGGATACAGAAGTGGTCGAACTGCTGCTGGATGTGCTCGAAGAGGAAGAGCTTGTAGATGACGTGATCGAACTCGTGCTTGATGTGCTGGAACTGGAACTGCTCGTGCTTGACGATGACGAACTGGATGTGCTCGTGCTCGATGTGCTGGTGGTACTGCTGGACGAGCTTGTTGTGGATGTGCTGGAGGTTGATGTAGTGCTGCTCGAACTGGTTGAACTAGACGTGCTGGTACTTGAAGTTGTCGAGCTGGATGTGCTGGTGCTTGATGTGCTGGTGCTTGATGTGCTGGTGGTGCTGCTAGATGTGCTTGTTGTGGATGTGCTGGAGGTTGACGTGCTGGTGCTGGAACTGCTTGAACTGGATGAGGTCGTGCTGGACGTCGTCGAACTGGATGAGCTGGTAGTTGAAGTACTGCTGGTGCTGCTGGATGTGCTTGTTGTGGATGTGCTGGAGGTGGAGGTGCTGCTGCTGGAACTCGTAGAGCTTGATGTGCTCGTGCTTGATGTGCTTGTGCTGGATGTGCTCGTCGTACTGCTAGAAGAACTGGAAGTGGACGTGCTGCTGCTCGATGTGCTGGTCGTGGACGTGCTGGTGCTGCTACTGGATGTGCTCGTCGTCGAAAGGGTTGTACTCGATGTGGATGACGTGGTCGCTGTTGTGCTGGAGCTGGATGAACTTGAGCTGGACGTGCTACTGCTTGTTGTGCTCGACGTGGACGAGGTTGAGCTTGAGCTTGATGTTGTTGAGCTGGATGTGCTCGACGTTGTTGCACTAGAGCTTGAAGTTGTGGTGGTAGAGCTGGAAGTGGCTGTCTTGGATGTGCTGGTACTGGTTCGTGTTGTCCTGCTCGTTGAAGTCGTGCTGATGGAAGTGCTGCTGGTACTCGTGCCTGTAAGGGACGTGCTGGACACGGTTATGGATGTGACAGTGCTGGAGGTGCTCGTCATGGTGGTACTGGTCGTGGAAGTGGCTGTACCTGATGTGCTGGCTGTGGACGTACTTGTTGTCGTTGCGCTCGTACTGGATGTGCTGGTTTGCGATGTACTGGATTGGGTAATTGACGTTGAAGTCGCACTGGTCGTGGTCTGTGAGGTGCCTGTGTTTGTCGTACTAGTTGTAGAAACACTCGTGCTTGTCTGCGTGGTGGACGCTGTCGAAGTGCTAGTGCTTGATGTGCTCGTGCTCGAAGATGTGGTGCTCGATGTGCTTGAACTTGTGCTTGAAGTAGAGGAACTGGATGTGCTGCTGCTTGTGGTGGTGGAGCTAGACGTGGTGGTGCTGGAACTGCTGGTGCTGGAGGTACTGGTGGTCGAGGTGCTTGAGCTTGTGCTTACACTAGTAGCAGTAGATGTGCTGCTGCTGGACGTGGCGGTACTCGAGGAACTTGTCGTGGCTGTGCTTGTGCTGGTAGTTGACATCGTGGAAGTCGAGGTGCTGCTGCTTGTGGTGGTGGAGCTCGACGTGCTCGTGCTAGAGGAGCTAGAGCTAGACGTGCTTGAGCTCGTGCTCGACGTAGACGAGGTGGAAGTGCTCGTGCTCGACGAGGTGGTGCTGGTCGAGCTTGAACTGGTGCTCGAAGTGCTTGAAGTGGAGGTGCTGCTAGTCGACGTTGTAGAGGAAGATGTGCTGGTAGTTGAAGTGCTGCTGGTGCTGCTGGATGTGCTTGTCGTGGATGTGCTGGAGGTTGACGTGGTGCTGCTGGAACTCGTAGAGCTTGCCGTGCTCGTGCTTGTCGTACTTGCGGTGCTGCTGGATGTGCTGGAGGTTGAGGTGCTACTGCTCGAGCTCGTGGAACTGGATGTGCTTGTGCTTGATGTTGTCGAACTGGATGTGCTGGTGCTTGATGTGCTGGTGGTGCTGCTAGATGTGCTTGTTGTGGATGTGCTGGAGGTTGACGTGCTGGTGCTGGAACTGGTCGAACTGGATGAGGTCGTGCTGGACGTCGTCGAACTGGATGTCCTAGTAGTTGAGGTACTGCTGGTGCTACTGGATGTGCTTGTTTTGGATGTACTGGAGGTGGAGGTGCTGCTGCTGGAACTCGTAGCGCTTGATGTGCTCGTGCTTGATGTGCTTGTGCTTGATGTGCTTGTGCTGGATGTGCTCGTCGTACTGCTAGAAGAACTGGAGGTGGACGTGCTGCTGCCCGATGTGCTGGTCGTGGAGGTCCTGGTGCTGCTGCGTGACGTGCTCGTCGTCGAGCTGGCTGTACTCGATGTGGATGTGGTGGTCGCTGTTGTGCTGGAGCTGGATGAACTTGAGCTGGACGTGCTACTGCTTGTTGTGCTCGACGTGGACGAGGTTGAGCTTGAGCTTGATGTTGTTGAGCTGGATGTGCTCGACGTTGTTGCACTAGAGCTTGAAGTTGTGGTGGTAGAGCTGGAAGTGGCTGTCTTGGATGTGCTGGTACTGGTTTGTGTCGTCCTGCTCGTTGAGGTCGTGCTGATGGAAGTGCTGCTGGTACTCGTGCCTGTGAGGGACGTGCTGGACACGGTTATGGATGTGACAGTGCTGGTAATGCTCGTCGATGTCGCGCTGGTTGTAGATGTGACGGTGTTCGACGTGCTGGTTTTCGTGGTGCTGGCTGTCGTCGAACTACCTACCGTGTTTGATGTACTCGTGCTTGAAGAGCTAATTGTGCTTGTGCTTGTGCTGGTAGTTGACATCGTGGAAGTCGAGGTGCTGCTGCTTGTGGTGGTGGAGCTCGACGTGCTCGTGCTAGAGGAGCTAGAGCTAGACGTGCTTGAGCTCGTGCTCGACGTGGACGAGGTGGAAGTGCTCGTGCTCGACGAGGTGGTGCTGGTCGAGCTTGAACTGGTGCTCGAAGTGCTTGAAGTGGAGGTGCTGCTAGTCGACGTTGTAGAGGAAGATGTGCTGGTAGTTGAAGTGCTGCTGGTGCTGCTGGATGTGCTTGTCGTGGATGTGCTGGAGGTTGACGTAGTGCTGCTGGAACTCGTAGAGCTTGACGTGCTCGTGCTTGAAGTACTGGTGGTGCTGCTGGATGTACTGCTTGTACTGCTTGATGTGCTGCTGCTTGTAGTGGTAGAAGAAGATGTGCTGGAGCTGGAAAAGGTTGTGCTTGATGAACTTGTGCTGGTCGAACTTGTGCTGGTCGAACTTGTGCTTGAACTGGAGGTGGTGCTGCTCGACGTACTCGTCGAAGATGAGCTGGACGTGCTCGTCGTGCTGGTGGATGTACTGCTGCTGGAACTGCTTGAACTGGATGTGCTGGTGCTCGAGGTGCTGGTGCTGGTCGAGCTTGTGCTTGATGTGCTCGCGCTGCTGCTTGATGAAGATGATGTCGAAGTGCTAGTGCTTGATGAGCTCGTGCTCGAAGATGTGGTGCTCGACGTGCTTGAACTTGTGCTTGAAGTGGAGGAACTGGATGTGCTGCTGCTTGTGGTGGTGGAGCTAGATGTGGTGGTGCTCGAACTGCTGGTGCTAGAGGTGCTGGAGCTTGTAGTAGAAGTGGTAGATGTAGACGTGCTGCTGCTGGATGTGCTGCTGGTCGAGGAAGTTGTTGTGGTCGTACTGGTGCTGGTAGTTGACGTCGTGGAAGTCGAGGTGCTGCTGCTTGTGGTGGTGGAGCTCGACGTGCTCGTGCTGGAGGAGCTCGAGCTAGACGTGCTTGAGCTCGTGCTCGATGTGGACGAGGTGGAAGTGCTCGTGCTCGACGAGGTGGTGCTGGTCGAGCTTGAACTGGTGCTCGAAGTGCTTGAAGTGGATGAGCTGCTAGTCGACGTTGTAGAGGAAGATGAGCTGGTAGTTGAAGTGCTGCTGGTGCTGCTGGATGTGCTTGTCTTGGATGTGCTGGAGGTTGACGTAGTGCTGCTGGAACTCGTAGAGCTTGACGTGCTCGTGCTTGATGTGCTTGTACTGGATGTGCTTGTGCTCGATGTTGTCGAACTCGATGTGGTGGTGCTTGATGTGCTGGTGGAACTGCTGGATGTGCTGGAGGATGAAGAACTACTGCTCGAGCTCGTGGAACTGGATGTGCTTGTGCTTGATGTTGTCGAACTGGATGTGCTGGTGCTTGATGTGCTGGTGGTGCTGCTAGATGTGCTTGTTGTGGATGTGCTGGAGGTTGACGTGCTGATGCTGGAACTTGTCGAGCTGGATGATGTCGTGCTGGACGTCGTCGAACTGGATGTGCTGGTAGTTGAAGTACTGCTGGTGCTGCTGGATGTGCTTGTTGTGGATGTGCTGGAGGTGGAGGTGCTGCTGCTGGAACTCGTAGAGCTTGACGTGCTCGTGCTTGATGTGCTTGTGCTGGATGTGCTGGTACTGGACGTGCTGGTCGTACTGCTAGAGGAGCTGGACGTGGACGTGCTGCTGCTCGACGTGCTGGTCGTGGACGTGCTGGTGCTGCTGCGTGACGTGCTCGTCGTCGAGCTGGCTGTACTCGATGTGGATGTGGTGGTCGCTGTTGTGCTGGAGCTGGATGAACTTGAGCTGGACGTGCTACTCCTTGATGTGCTAGAAGTGGATGAAGTTGAACTGCGGCTCAGGTGGGAGGGCGGTGGGAGGACAGGAAGGGAAGATAGACTGAATGGGAGGGACGGGGTGTAATTACGGATGCACCTCATATCTTCGCGGAACTGTTGGTTAGTGGTTGTATGTTGTTGTTTGCGGTTGTTCAGGGCTTCATGATCCATCGGCTCGGTTTTAAGAGCTACCGCAAGAAGCTCGTCTCCGCACCTGTTGATCCCCCCCTCTGCTGCCATCCATTCCCTCCTAACACCTCCCAATAGAACCTTTCAGTGGGTTCTGGTCCTGCCTTGAGGTTGATGTGGACGACGTTGATGTTGAAGAGGTTGATGAGGAAGACGTGCTGGAAGTAAATGTTGTGGAGCTTGTCTTCGAAGTACTGGAGCTGGATGTGCTGGTGTGAGTGGTGCTGCTGCTGGTCCTGCTGCTGCTGGTGCTACTGCTGGTGGTTCCTGTACTGGATGTGAGTGTCGAAGTGGTGGTAGAAGTGAGAGTTATTGATGTTCCTTCGGTGGATGTGCTGCTTGAGGTCGTCTTGGTCTCTGTTGAAGATGTGCTTGAAGTTTTGGATGCGGTGCTGGTGGTGCTGGAAGTGGAGCTGGTGCTGCTGGAGCTGGTGGTCACAGAGCTGCTGCTGCTGGCGCTACTGGTCGACGAGCTGCTAGAAGTTTCACTGCGCGACGTGGACGTCTGGGTATTTGAGGACGATGATGTTGTTGTGAGGGTTATGGTTGACCAGGTTCGGCTAGAACTGGTGCTGGTTGTTCCAGTCTTCGAAGTGGAGGATCTGGTCAGGGATGAGGAAGTGGTCGTTGAAGACGTTTGGCTATTCGTGCTAGTTCTTGTCGTGCCAGAACTTGTCGTTGTCGTAGTTGTGCCTTGCAACAAGCCACAAGGACAAACCAAACGATCGAACCTTGATTTCTCCATGCTTTAGCCACTCTTTGTTGGCGCGTCCAAAATCTACCGTTCACCATTCGACTGCACCATGCCTGAAGAGGTTTCGAAACTAGAACTTGCCCAAGCTCTGCACCGAAGCTGCATTCGTTAGGCTGCAGCTCCCGTATCAAGATTCCGCCATCCAATGTACAATCTTCCGACAAAGTGACCTGGCAAGGGAAGCTGCGCATTTAACACCACTGGCAACATACCATCTACGACGCAAAAATTGCCAGCAGCGCGTAACTGCACTGGTCGTCAAAGGCATCCGCCGAAATGAACAAGAAGAGCAAAATGATTCCTGGAAATATCTGCTTCCATGTCTGCAAGGGAGTGTCCGATCCATCTGCGCCTTGGGACTTCATCTCGCTTTTCCAACAGCCGGCCTTAAGTTCGAACCATGCGTGGGGGACAACGCGAAGATCATGCTACAAAGCGCCACTGCAGCACCAAGCTTCGGACGAAATCAGTCGTTCGTCGGCAAAATGCATGTTTAAGGCAACATGTTCAGAGTCTCGTGTTC